CCCTGGGGTGGATCCCATCTGGCCCCATAGCACTTGGGCCCAACACCCACTCCTGACTCAGCCAAGAGAGTATGCAAGTGGGAGATGCTGTCAGCAATTTACCTGTAGTCAGGATCAGCTGTAACAGTACAGTAATAGGATGCTGTACTGCATTAAACCAAGATATATATTAAGGAGGAATACAGTCCTAATCATGGCAGCATGTGCATTATTTACAAATACATTACAACTGAATGCTGAAAATAAGAAGTCAATATTGCAAACTTGACATGGCAATTATGAGTGAGAGGAAGGAGGAAAAATAAATGAACAGACAGGTGGGTTTTGAGAGAAGGTCATTGGGAGACATGGACATGGGCAGCTCCCTGGTACAGGAGGCAGCATGGGAAAAGCAGCCGGTGACAGGTGAGGAAGAACTCAGCGGACAGCAAAAAGCACTGATGTGATAGAGTCCTGGTGGGCTTTCAAAATGTGAGGCATTAGAGGTCAGTACAGGAAAGGACCAACTGGTAGCTAGGAGGGATGTGGTCAAAGAGTAAGAGAGACTTCACTTAATCCATTTTGGAAAGACTGGGAAGTAAAACATCCACCCAGAACCTTAAGAGAACAATCCTGAATGCCAGGGAAGGAAAGCCTACCAAGTCTGGGTCTGGAGACCAGAAGAGTTACTTCTAAGTCCCCTTTAAATAGCAGCACACCAAGTGGGTTTTGTTCACCTGAAATGTCTGTCTCGAGGACAATCAATATCATTCTTTATCCCCCAGAAGTGCATTCAGGCTATGCCATAGAAATGCATCTTTAAATCATGCAGAAGTAATCAAGTACTTAGAATGTGATGTGAAATATTATCAATAATTCACCAGCTTTTGCAATCAAACTACTGAGATGAGCCTCTCTGATGACTTCTTTTCCTACCTTCTACCTGTTTATTGGAAATTACAGTAATAAAGCAGTCACATTATAGCAACTAGAATGGGTTCAGTTACCCTCAGTCTCCAACCAGAAAGCTAATTTATATGGCAAACATACACTGTTTGTGTATGCACTGTCGTTTTCTGCCACAGCACAGTTACTCTGAAGTTCTGTTTTTCCATGCATGTACCCAGTACACACTTACACAAACACCCAACCACAGCATAGTTTACCACAAGGTTGGTTACAACCATTGCATTATAAACCAAAAGTAGTGAAATCTTTCCCAGATTGCTTTTCTACAACAGATGCATAGGTCATCCCTAGAAATATGGGAATATTGCTTTCATTAAACTGCCAATATCAGCATGCAGATCTATTTTTGCATTTTCAGACATTTGATTCCTTTGTTTTCACTCTGCTGTATTTTCCTTGCTGATGCTCTGCTGAGGACACAACCACACAGATAAAAACTTTTTTACTGTAAGGGTGACAGAGCCCTGGCCCAGGCTGCCCAGAGAGGTTGTGGAGTCTCCTTCTCTGCAGACATTCAAAACCCGCCTGGACGTGTTCCTGTGTGACCTGGTCTGGGTGATCCTGCTCTGGCAGGGGGGTTGGACTGGATGATCTTTTGAGGTCCCTTCCAACTCCTAATATTCTGTGATTCTGTGATTCAATAAAATACATTTTCAAGAACTAGGTACCTTCTTACCTGCAGCAAAACCCAGTGTAAAGCAGATGTAACAACTAAAGGTTTCTTAACTTCACTGACAAAAAGCAGGAAGAGTATAAAAGGAGAATAAAGAACTGCATTTTCTTCAGGAGTTATTCCTGAAGATTCACATAAAACCTAGGACAAGCAGGACTAAGAGCTGCCATTAGAGAAAGGCTGTGCCCATATTAAGAGATCAGAATTAAACATGGCAGAATCTCTAAAATTAAGGGAGGCCACACCTCCATTTGACAGCTGTAACAGGGCTGAGAATAACTCCACTACGACTGCATCGTCTCCCCTGAAAGGCAGCTATTTCTTCCCAGTGAAACTCCTCTATGGAAACCAATACTTATTCTGAGTGCTCATCCCCACAAAGTATTTCGGGGAAATGAGTATCCCACTCGACAGATAAGGAATTGTAGGGAGAGATGCTTTAGTCAAGGTCATCCAATGACTTGCTGCTGAGGCTGCCCCTGCAGTCCAGTGGCTCATTGTCTTTTATTAAAGGCAGAAATCTGGTGGGCTTTCTCTAGTTACCAAATCCGTCAGGTCATCTGCTTGGAGGAAAAAAATCAAGGAGCAGGGAAGAGGAACTCCCCTCTTGCAACAGAGCAATCAGGAAATTCCAGGTCCAAACAAAGAATGGAGTATCTGAATTGCTTGGGGCAGAGGAAGGCGGGGTGGCTGTGGGTGTCTTCTGTGCATCCCACTTGGGCTGCACCTAAGCAGAGCTTGCCCAGGGTCATGCCTGGGGCAGGGGGGCGGCACTGGTCACATAGCAATTTCATCCTGGGGTCCTCCTTACACTCCCCCAGAAAGGCAGCGCCTACTGCAGCAGCGCGAGCTCCCCAGGCACAGACAAGGCTGGCAGCTGAGCTCCACAGGGGCAAACCTGTCCCCAGGACACCCTCTCCAAACAGAAGGGTTGATTTTTGCTTCATCTTTCATCCCACAGTCCAAGCGACGCTGAGAGGAACAGGCACACGGACATGCTCCCTGGATACAGGAATACACTCAGACCTGCCCTGAGCACCCCCTGCACACTCAGAGCTGCCACACAGGTGATGCCTTCCCATACTCCCCCACAGACCTACCCCAGCAACCCACCCCACCACACACAGTCCCTGCAGAAACACCCCCCATCTGAACATCTCAATACATCGCCTTTCGAGACAGACCCTGCATGAACCATATTTAGATGCAGCACGTGAACTCCCAACGCCCTCTCCACACTGTGCAAGACCCTCCCCAGCACTCCCCCTGACACACACAGCACCCAACACACCTCCACACACTCCATGCATGAACCCCCTCAAGGAATCCCAACACCTCCTCTGCAATTAACCCTCCTTACACCTTCCTCCACACGCACACACGTATCAAACCCCAAATTTCACCAGTTGCAACCTACCCAAAACACCCTTCTCCATACATACACCTTGTTCTTTAACTCCCCCCTCTAAACACATTGTGTGAACTCCCAATACACCCTTCCACATGCTCCCCAAACATCACAAAAACCCCTAACACTCTGCCTTCCACACATCCACAACACACACACCCCCCCTGTGTGCACCCCCAGCACCCCACTCCACACGCACCCTTACCACACCACACCCCTATACACACACATCGTGCACAAACCCCTCAAAACACCCTCGTACACAGACTGCATAAATCCCTCCCACTCCCATTACACATACGCTACATGAATCCCTCAGCACTCCTCAATTTCCATTCAGAGCCATCCACCCCAGTGGGAAACCCACATCACTCCCCAGCCAACCCCTGCACCCATCTGGGACCCCCCCCAGCCGAGCGAAATGTGGGGACGCCCTCAGACAGCCCCCCCAGGTGACAGACACAGCCATAGAGTAAGACACACCCCTCTGGCTCCACATCTGCACTGGAGCAAGCAGATGTGCAGGATGTCAGCCCCCGCACTGCCACCCACTCCCGCACCTCTCTGGAGGGGCAGAAGCATCCCCGTGTGCCCGAGGAAATGTGACCTTAACGGCAGACCGAAGTGGTGCAGCCCCCTTCCCACCCCGCCTCCTCACTGCACCAGACAGCAATGCTAATTACCTTCCTCCAGCTCATCCATGCTCCCGATCTTCCGCGACCCATCGATGGTGTAAATGTAACGGACCCCCTGAGGCAGATTAATGTTGTCGGACAGGGATCGGGTCAGGTCAGCCAGGAGAGCATCAAAACTTCGGAAGCGGTCGGAGGACACAGCATATACAATCCCCTTGAAGTAGCGGTCCCCGTTGCGATAGAAACGCACCTTCTTGGCTTTCTTCTCATTGCTCAGTGCCTGTAAGGTCCTGGTTCTGTAGAAGCTACAGTGAGCGCTGTGAGTGGGGCTGGGCAACCCGTTCATACGTGAGCCTCGCATGTTTCTGGACGCCTTATCTCTTTCGTCAAAGTGTCCAAAATCAAGTTCCATAGTTTGGTGAACCCTAAAGATCTGAAGCTGAGCAGGAAGGAGAGATGGGGAGAGAAGGAGTGCAAAGGGACAGGTTAGAGCCAAGCAGAGTCACAATCCAGAAAGAAAAAGGACGCTAATGCAAGAGCTGTGTCTGGAGCAGGACGGATGCGTTTGGGAAGCATCCCCTCCCCTGACCCAGATTTGTATTGATTCTGGAGACTGAGGGTAGGAGGGGTCCTCGCATTTTGAAAGGGATCCAACTACTGGGGGTGGGGAACACGTTTGTTGAGAGCTGCCTGCTCCTGCACCTGGGAGTTTTCAAAGTGCAGTAAATTGGGACCTGGGGCCAAAGGGATACATGGCAATCACAACTCAGCCCCAAAAATCTCATCCAAACACCAGTTGGCAGTGAATTAAAACCTCTGAGCCCTGTGAGGTTTCCTTTGGCAACAGAAAACAAGGAGATCCCAGTAAGTCAGCCCTTCAATCTGTCGAATCACGGAAGGAACCAGAGCATCTGAATGTTTAACATTAGAATAAACTGGCATTTATGAAAGAATGGTCACAGGGGAATAAGCAGTTTCTTTGTGACAGCCTGTTCAATAAGGGTTAGCAATGAGATCCAGCCCACCCTTCCCCCTATCTGCAGCCCCCTCCTAGCCCATCAATCAATTCCCAGGACCAGCCTACATCTCGAAGAAGAAATGACTAGAAAGAAAAAATCTGTCATTGAAATGAGGCTTCGATAAGCTCTTTTCAGCCTGAGTCTCCTCTGAATTGCATTTCTTCCCCCGTTGAATGAGGAGGAGAAAAATAAAGAGGCTATTTCCACCCCCCTTGCAGTCAGAAGTGATTTAATTGCTGGAAGTGCCCCTGCCCAAGGGACAGCCGCTCCGCTCGCTCACCTTTCATTGTTCTGAGCATGGGGGGCTCCCAGCGCAAACACAGAAAAGCTGAGACTTGAGCTGACACCCAGCAAGCAGGAATTTCTGCACGGGCTCTAGTTTATGCTCACAAACAAGCTTCCTCCTGCACCAAACCCCAACACAAAAGGAGGAGGAACCCCCAACCCCGCAATAGAAAGACTTCCACTCCCTCAGCACAACCAGGAACATGCACCTCACGTATGGTGCTTGCATGTTAACACAGGGCAGAAAGGGGATTTACACCAGCACTTGGCAGCCAGGTATAAATCTAGGAAAAGCTGTTGCTATCTCTTCCCCACCCCTTATATTTGCCAGAACTAAGCTCCTTTCCTGTATTTTACAATGTCAGCGTGACCTGTGCAAGACAAATCATTGTCCCCAGTCTGCAGTAAGGCAGAGGATGACAATGCAGGCAATCTGCACAGAAACCCCAAGTTGGGAACATTTTCCCCACAATGGCAGTCGGGGTAGATACAGTCTGGTGTCATGCAGTGAACAATGAAACATCCAAGCAACTTCGGGAATGAATCAGAGGATGCAGGGGGTTTCAATTTTTAAATGAACTGCAGATGCTGTAAGGTACTAAGAGAAAGATTTCTCCTTTCTGTCTGACATCTGTTACTTTTCTGCATGCAAGTCACTCAGAAGAAGCTCTACTCACCAGTTTTCAGTGCGCAGGGTGGAGATGCTGAGAGAAAGAAAACCAGGCTCACTCTGCCTTTGTTGTCTGAGCTCCAAGCAAGAAATTCCTGCCAGGGTGGATGAGACGCCTCCTAGGTCCTAGTGCCTTGTTCGATCCCGTCGCAGTAACTTTGCCTCAGTGGTTTTTACTCTCCTCATCAGCTGTGTGCTTGTAGCCTTCTCTGTATTTGAGGAAAAAAAGGGTGTGTTCATTTCAGCGCTGGATATGTTAATGGATGGATAAACAAAAACGTTTAAAGGAGCAAGTTTGGGGGTGATGATCTGAAGGATGCAAATTTCCCCCTTGGCTCTAGCTTCACCAGAAAAGCATCTGGCCCCACTAAAATTAAAAAATAAAAATTAAAATTGTAAAAAAAGAGCATAATGGGACTGATGTGCGCTGATATTATCAGATTACCAGTACAGGAAGGTCATGGCTACAATCCTACAGTGTGCTACAATGCTGGCATAAGACCCCTGTGCATTAGGAATGCAACTAAGAAAAAAGTTGACCAGTGGGCACAGTCCTGTTGCTGTACTGGTTTTACACAGCATTCATGGCAAGCAGAAAGGGAGAATTCACTTGGTGGTTCTGTATGTGGTGCCCCTGCATAGTTTTTCTCCGTTAACTTTGGACACAAGCCAAAGCCAGAAGTCTGAATCCCAGTTCATTCAAATCCCCACGGGTTTCAGGATGGAGTCATTCGACACAAGCTCAACCCAGCAGATTCAACATGGCTCATTTCCCAAACTCAGAGAAGTTTATTTTCTGATTCCACTGCAGGAGGACTCAGCTGTCACAAAATTGAACCGGGCTGTTTCATTTTGACAGCGAAATCTTTCACCTGCTTTCTGGATGAAGATTTCTATCCTGCAGCTAAAGAGCAGCATCACTAACTCCACTCCTAACCCCACTGGTGCTGGTCCCCTCTTAATTTTAGAAAAGAACAGGATTTGGAAATGGGAGGATCTTCCCATCTGTAGAAGGAAATCTTTCCTAACAACGCTGTGTTTGTTTTGAATGAAAACTTCAGATTTTGCCATTTTGGCTCATCACAGCAGTATCACATTTACATAGAAAATGTTAGTATTTATTCCAGCATTTATTCCTGCACATGATAGTCCAGGCAACATTGACACAAACCCTCTGAGAGCTCATCTTTGCCAGCAACTTTCACACAGGACATTTGTAAGAAGTTTTGTATTCCCTGAAACTATCCTTTTATTCAAAGGCTCCTGTGCATCCTCCACTAAAGCTGCTGACTTCTTATGTGCTTGGTGGGATCTCCACAGAGGACACAACAGATCTGCTCTCCTTCCTCAGGAATTAGCACTTGAGAGGACCACAGGAAAGAACAGGGTCTGTGCTCTCCAGTGCATCTTTCAGTAAGTCTGTGGATGCAGATGCAAGAGGTTGGCTGTAAATATAAATTTAGTCATACTTTTAAAATGTACCAAAGATACAAATCATTGTGCATGTGCTAAGTACAATAACACAACTTCAGTGGTGCGCAGAGCTTCGATAGAGCAGAGGCAAACCGTCTGGGATCATGCCTAAGGATCTGGTTACCCCAGGGTAACCTGGCAGGATGGTGTCAACCCATGCAGTCAGTGGGATTGTACAACAACTTATTCATCTCCCAGGTTTGACTCATATGGAGAGTTTAGAGGACAGCAAAGCATGTCTAATGGCTCTTGACTTCTTTGCACATCTGTGACCATACCCGCTGGTGAGAAGATGAACTATGTCTGTATGGACACATCTGCTCAGGACAGACTGCCAGAAGCCTTTTGGAGCATGGGCACTTACTTTCAAAAGCAGAATTACTCCAGCAAGAGACCTGGTATTTGTTCTTGACTGAAGGATAAGGTTTCTATAGCCAATGATGGCAATGTTCATCTTGGGTAAATACCTCAAGCTACTCCTAAAAGTTGCCCAAAATCATGTTCAGTACAGCTGTCCTCCTTTAATCCTGCCACAAGACAAGAAGGATCTCAGCAATCAGAGCATCACTGGAGGTGAAGAGCCCTGGAGACAAACTGATTTCATATGTTCTCAGTGAAATCACACCATATTTCCTTCTCTCCAAATGAGAAGAGGATCACCTCATACTACAGACATTGGCTGGGCCATGCAGTAAGGTATACAAATAAATAGCATTTTCTTGATGAATGCAAGGGCCTGCTCCTGACTTCATTTCTGTTGGTCAGGCACAAGAGCTTCTTCACTGGCCTTAAGGAGTTAACACTCATCAGAACCTATTTACATCAGAAGAGGCTCAACCCCTGCGACACCATAATCTAAACCATTTTAGGCAGCAGGAGTGATTGAGAATTGGAAAGAAAATTCTTCTTCCCATCAATAATTTCAGTTAGCTAAAAAGGAAAGATAAATTTAGCTCTTTAAATCAGGTGAATCATCTTTCCTCCAGGAAGCTAACATTTAGACTTTTGCCTGTGTAACTAAATCTGTATAAAGACATGTTTGTTGACATTGCTGAGCAACTGTGATGTTTTGGAAAGGGACAGACTGCAGGTAAAAGGGATTTTGTGACTGTTTTGTGCTAACTTCTTCACATGCAGCCAGAAAATCCAGTTTCTAGCACCATTAGGAGCTGGAGTCTTAAGTACTGTCTGAGTCAATGCCCAGCTGCTTTACTATACATCATCCTGACTTCTATTAAAAAATTGCATCTGATAGCACAGCAAGTGCTCTGATTCAGGAGGTAAGTTAGGGTGATAAGTAGCCAAGGCCTGGCTGCACTACAGATAAGAATTTTGGAAAAAATTTAAATCAAGTGATGACTGCTTTTGAAGGAAATCTTAGATCAACGTTTTCAAGTCTATTTAGATGTACGTGTTTCATTATGCTTTTTATTTTAACCTCTGTTCTTCTGGACTGCTTTGAAATGTCATCCCTTATCACTGCTTTCAAAGCTTTTCTTGATGTGAACATACACACCAAAACCCTCTGAAATGACAAATGACTGTTTCAAGGTTTTCTCAAATGTGTCAAGGCACTCAAAACTGAAAGCCGATAAAGCCAATGGCTCAGTCTTGACCCTACAGAGCAACAGGATTTAAACCTGAATCTTCAAAAGAGCTGACAGTTCATCTAAGAATGATCCAATATCAGACTACAGAGTTAAGTCTCTCCTACGTAATACTACAAGCTAATAAGCAACGGGAACTTGGCAGACTTTCACCACATAACATTTGTTTCCTTTGGAGATTTATTTTTATAGGGACCACACACACATCTGAAAGTCTTTTAAATACCAATGCTAGTGAGCCAAAGTCAGCTCAGCTGCTGGGGAGAGGAGGAATACGTCCAGAGCACAGTGTCACCACTTCAAGCCTTGTCACCATCTGCAGAGGCTGGTCAGACCTTGAAATCAGAGGGCTGGGCCTTTCTACAGCCTGAAATGCTGGAAAAGGCAGGGAGCAGGGACAAATTTTTTGGTCTGGGGAAGGAGAGGGTGGAAGCAGATGCTGGGCTCTAAGGCCACCTCCAGCAGCTCCTCACCTGTGCTCCACAGCACCAGCATCTCCTAGGTGAGACCTTGACTCCTCCAGACCTCAGAGGCTGTCCCGAGTCAGGGCGTTTGTGCTGCAGCCACACACCCTTGGCAGATACCCTCAATCTCAGCGATGACTATGGCTTCAGATATGCTCCCGCTGAAATTTGGGAGAAAGAGGCCTTTATATCCTCTAAAGGATGCAGGCTCCAAGTGAAAAGGCTATTTCCTGTGCTAATAAGCTGTTTGTAAGTATCTGGAAATGATGCAGCTCATAATGAGTTATTCAGTTAATTCCCAACACATCCAGATATAAGAAAGCATTAAAACACCCAACAGTTATCCAAAAGAAAAATACCTTTTGCACTAGATTTCTTCTGGCCCATTCCCTCCCTACTACAAGCAAATCAACACAAGCAAGAAATCTTTCCCA